CCGGGCTCAGGGAGGGCCTCCTGGGAGGAGCCTTTGGAGGACCTGCAGCCCCCGCTGGGGAGGAGCAGGGCACGAGCTGGCTGGCAGGGGCGGCCTGGGCCAGTGGGGTAACCCGATCGATGGCGTGGCCATGGCTGGAGTCCTGGGTGGCTGGGGTAGCAGGTGGCAAATTGCTAAGCCTGTGCTCAGCGGTGGCAGGAAGAAGCCTAAATTGGGGCGATGCACCCAGGAGGGAGAAGAAGCAGGATGGTCCAGCCCACCCGTCACACCCTGGCTCTCAGTCGCCCCCAGAAACCGCTTGTGCCGCCAACATTGGAACCCAGCAGCTCCAGGGTCAGAGAGTGGCATGCATGTCTACAGGGGGAGGTTGAGCCACCCCAGGGCGCCAGGAGGAGACTCCTGAGGCGTCCAGGACCGGTCAGGCCTCACCCCTAAGGTCCCCAAGCCCTTGCATTCCCCTCCCACACCCCTGCCTCTTGTCCTGAGGTGCAGCAGAGGGGCCTTGTCGGGACAGAGCCCAACACTCAGGCTGCAAGCATTCTACACGCTATGCCCTGCATGGTGCACTGAGGCAGCATCAGCCCCCCAGCCGGCAAACAGGAAAGAGCCACACTGGGTGCAGGGGGAGGAGATTGACAGGCAGGGCTTGCTCTGCAGACTGCCACTCACTAGCATGGGACTTCACCACCGCAGGCCTCAGTCTACTCACCTGTAAAATGAGGCCAGGCACTGACTGGAGAGCAGAACAAGCAGAAACAGTGTGTGCAAGGGTCTGCAATGCTGGGGTCTTAGCCCTCTCTAACCTGGCACCCAGCCGTCCCCTGGAGAGACCCTGGGGCCTGAGGGGGCAGGGCATGGGGGCTGGCCCCGTACACTCGAGCAAGGACAGCTGTTGCGCCAGAGGGAGGCAGGGGCTGGGGTGGGCCGTGGTGCCAGTGGAAGAGGTTGCTCAGTTCCTTCCTGGAAGCTGGCCCGGTGACTCACGGCCACGGCAGCCTGGCCGCTCACCCTGAGCCCCTGCGACTGTCATTCAGCCCGTCTCCCCTCGCTGCATGCTGAACTGGGGGTTGGGACAGTCAGCTCCCCCAGTCCATCACTCCTTGTGCAATAGCAGAGTCCACTTATCAGCCTGGCACTCCCCGCCCCTGCCAGCAGAAAGAGGATACAACTCTGGGTCATGCAGACCCACCCATTTACTGGCCCCGTTAGGAGACAGGCTTTGAACGTCTTGGGGAGGGAGCTTCCCTAAGGTCGCAGTGAGTGGGGGTCTGCTCCCCCTGCCTAGAAGCCCCTGCCCTTGGATGCCTCCCTCCGGCAGAGGTCAGGGCCCAGTGCCTGGCCCCTTGGCTGGGCAGAGAGGGAGCAGAGGCCAAGTTGAGGACAGGCCAGCTCTGTGCCCTCATGTCACAGAGGGGACAGGGGCCTCCATCCTTCTCCAAGAGGTAAAGCCTGGATCTGAGTAGAAAAGGATCCTATGTAAGGCTCAAGTCCTTGTCCCCCCACGGGGGTCACCTGTGGCCGCCTGAACTTGGACCTGGCCCACCGCCAGTAGCCGGGCTCTTGGCGCCCCCTGCAGGCCAAGAGCCACAGGTGGGACTGGCTCCACAGGCGGCCAGGCAGGGCTAAGGAGTCGGTGGGCACCCCCCTTCCAGGTGCAGCCGCCCTACCTCTCAGCCCCCTTCCCTCCCTTGTCTCCCCTCTGAAAGGCTCCAGCTCCTGCCTGGGCCTGAGCAGGACTCCACCCATCTGTGCATCCCCTGGGCAGAACCTGACAGAATCGCAAGGGAAAGGCAGGAAGACCCTGGGAGAAAGGGGTGCAGGGGCTGGTGAGGGGAGGCTGGACTACCACGGCCTGAGGCCACCCCCTCCCACTTGCTTGCTGTGCTGCCAGAGAAGGGAGACTCTCAATATTCCCTGGCACCTTGGCGTGCCCAGCTGGGTGCCAGTGTATAACCACACCAAGTCCTTCCTCAGCGGCCCCTGGGACAGGAACCCTCATCTCCACTCACACATCAGAAAAGCCAGACTTAGCCGGGCTCGGTGGTTCAGCCTGTAATCCCTCACCTTTGGGAGACTGAGGTGAGTGGATTGCCTGAGCCCGCGGGTTCGAGACCCGCCTGGGCAGCGAGACCTCATCTCTACAATAAAAAAAAATCAGCCGGGCGTGGTAGCGCATGCCTGCAGTTCCGGCTACTCGGAAGGTTGAGGCAGAAGGATCGCTGGAGCCCAGCAGGCGAGGCTGTGGTGGCCGGGAGTGGCCACTGCACTCCAGTCTGGGCAACCGAGTGAGACTCCAACTCAAAAAAAAAAAGAAAAGAAAAGAAAAGCCAGACTTAGGCACAACAGCTGGGGGAAGGAGCGTCCTGGGGGCCAGTGCCGCAGTGAGCAGGAGCGTGGGATTCAGGGTAGAGCTCCCTTGGGCTCAGAAAGCAACCCCGGTTCTTACCCAAGACTGCTCCCAGGCCAGTGCCCGCCAGGCTTCCCAGCCGTGCCTGGGTGTGTTAAAAACTCAGGTGCCCATCAAGTGCTGCCTGGAGTGGGGCCCGGGCACCTCTGCAAAGTGTCAGATGCACGGCCGGTTTCGAGAACCATCCCTCTGGGCCAGCCCCCACGCCCAAACAGAAGCCAGATGCTGCCTGCACACCTCCAGGGATGGGGGGCCCACCCACCCCACTCTGGTCAGCACCCTTGGGTTGAGCGGGCCCAGCTCCCAGTAGCTACTGGCCACAGCGTCCATCCCAGTCCTTGAGCCACATGACAAATACTGTCTCTACCCCAGGCTGTGAAGTCAGGCAAAACCCTATTCAAGTCCTAGCTGTGTGGCCTTGCACACAAGGCAAATCGCTCAGCCTGTCTGTGCCTCAGTTTCCTCCTCTTTACAATGAGGGCTCACTGGCCTGCAGAGAGGAAAACATGCAGTTATGGAAGGTACTTAGCCCGTCCTGCCTAAGTTCCATAAAAGTTAGCTGTTTTCATTATCATCGTCACAAAGAGTTCCTGTATTTTAATAGGACTTTCTATGTACTTTCCGATTTCATCATCATTCATTCACTCATTCCAACTTCCTGTCCCACTGCCTCAGGCCCTGGGTCAGACCCCCTCTCACACACAGATCCTGTTTGTTCCTGACAGCAGTTCCTTGACTGGCAGAACCGGTGGTGCCTTCCCCATGTTCACAGATGAGGAAACTGAGGCCCAGAGAGCGGTGACCTGGCCCTTATCCTTCTTCAGACAAGAAATACGTGCAGCTTCCCTTAGAAGATGCAACAGTGTCTCGCCTCCACCCCGACACCCCCGCCCTTGGGGGACACAGTTTGCTGGGACAGCCCTGGGGAGGCCTGGTGCTCCTGGAGCCTGGGGCGGCAGGATACTTGTGCTCTTGTCCAGAGCACCTATCTGTGTGACTGAGGCTGAAGGTGGGGCCAAGGCCGGAGCTTCCTCTGGGGAGACTGGAGAAGACCCCTTCCCCTGCTCTGGGCCTCCACATGCTCTCCTGTCCCGTGAGGGGTGGGCAAGATTCTCTGCACTGCCAGCTCCTCTGAGGACCCAGAGGCAGCCTCAGGCAGCCCCATTGTGGAGTGAGCAGATGTGGCTCCCACTGACCAGACTGGACAGGGGGGCCCTCCAGAGTCACCACTCAGCTCTCCTCCCAGCCAGGCTGCCTCTTGTGCACCTACTATGTGCACCTGGCCAGGGGGAAGGGTGGAGCAGGTTTGAGGGGTAGTACTTGGAGCACAAGCCCCTGGGTCACCCAGACCTGGGCTCCCATCCAGGTCTGCCCTTAAGGGCTGGATGACCTTGAGCCAGCCACTTCACCTCTCTGAATAGCACCTGGCACTTAGTAAGTGCTCAGTTAATGTGAGCTCCTGTTCCCAGAGAGGGAACCACTTCTCCCTCACAGGACCTTTCCCCAGCTCTGTGCCCATCTCAGTGGGCACATTTACCTCTTGCTCCTTACGGCTTTATAAAGGGGAGGCCTTGTGCATTTGCCTCCTGGCCCAGATCACAAAGTGTCTGTCCTCAGGTGGGGCAGAGCCTTCCTGGGCCCCTTGAATGCCACCAAGGAGGACAGGCAGGAGAAGGGCCACAGGTTTGAAGGGGTTTGAAGCTCAGCTCTGGCACTTGCTATCTCTGTCGCCTCTGGCCTGTCACCTAGCCCTCATTTTAGAACCTGTAAAATGGACACAATAATGATCACCTCATAGATTTGGCGCTTTTGCAGCAGGAAAAAGTGCCGCCACTGCATGTGCTCTTAGTAGATGGTCAATAAACAGTCATGGACTCCCTCGTTCTCCCCTACACAGCCCTGCTCCAGCATGTGACTGGCCCCAGACCCTCACATAATGCCCCCCATTTTTACTGTGGTTCTCACAGTAGCCCTAGGAGGCACGAGCATTGCTGCCCATCCCCAGGGCATAAGAGTTCAAGGAGGGGAGGGGAGGGGAGGGGAGGGGAGAGTATGGCGCACTCAAGCCGCCCCACCCACTCCAGCCCATGTCCTGATCGTCTCAAGCCCCCCACTGTCCTCACTGTCCTACCTCCAAAGGGCTGCAGCAGTGATGCTGGTCTCCATCTGGTGGTCTGGGATATGACTGGCAGTGAGGGGCTTGGGCCCTGGGTTCCTGCCTGGGATGGTGAGAGAACTCGGGCAGATGGCAGCCTCAGCCTCTGACAGGGAACAGCGGGAGCTCACAGCTGGACTAGGGTAACGTCCAGGTCCAGACGGTGGGGCAGAGGCCCCCGGGGCAAGGGGGGCTCCCACGCAGCTCCATTAGCTTCCCTACCATGGACCTGGTGGCTGAGATGGTCGCCCTTTTGTGGAAGATAGCACTTCCACCCCTCGGTGCCTCAGAGCCAGGGGGAGGGCCTGCCGCCAGACCAGAGAGAGGTCACTGGGACAAGCCAGGTCCAGAGCCCGGGTCTGGGCCTGGGCCTGGGCCAGGGCCTGGCAAGGGGAGGGGCGGGCTCGGCATCACTTGCCACCCTCCCCACAGGTACCTGGCCAAGCTGTCGTCAGTGGGGAGCATCTCGGAGGAGGAGACGTGCGAGAAGCTCAAGGGCCTGATCCAGAGGCAAGTGCAGATGTGCAAGCGGAACTTGGAGGTCATGGACTCAGTGCGCCGAGGCGCCCAGTTAGCCATCGAGGAGTGCCAGTACCAGTTCCGGAACCGGCGCTGGAACTGCTCCACACTCGACTCCCTGCCAGTCTTTGGCAAGGTGGTGACACAAGGTGAGGGAGGGCGTGACACAGTGTGCAAGGGGGGAGCGTGACGCAAGGCGAGGGGAGGGCCTGCCACCAAAACGGCGAGGGTTGATGGCAGACGAGGGGCCGGGCACGATGCAAGGCGAAGGAGGGCTCGACACGCGGTGCGGGAGGACTCTACGCAATGTGTGGGAAGGGTGGGGCGAAGGTGAGGGAGCGCAGGACACAAGGCACAGGAGAGTGTGCAGAGCTGCAGGGTGCGGGCGGGGCCGGGTAGGGGTGTGCCGTGGGATCCTAGCCCACTCTAGAAGCAAAACCAGCACAGAGCCATGCGGGGGCATTGGCTGTGGGGCACTGGGGTGCCAGGACGCAGTGAACCAGGCAGAGACACTTCTGGGGCGAGTAGGCCACGGGAGGACGCAGCTCAGTCAAGTGTGCAGCATTGGCAGCGCTGGGTCTCCCGGGAGCGTGAGAGGGGCTACTTCCTCATTTGACAAGGGGGAAATTGAGGCCCAGGTAGGGGACAGGGCTGAGCCGCCCAAGGCTCCCAGAGGGGGAGCAGCAGTCACGCTGCAGGCCCAGGGCTCTGACCCTCCACCCTCGCACTCGGCCTTGGGTCCCCACACGCATCTTGCTCCCTTGTGCATCTGAACCGTGGCCTGGAGCCCCCGGCAAGGTCCGCACAAGACGCGCGGCTGCACAGCGCCCAGCCTCTCTCCTCCCGGGCCCTTGGCCTCGTGGGGAGACAGGCGAGCCACGGCCACGGCACGACAGCCGTTGTGACTCTCACACCTGCTAATGGTGACCCAGACGTCGTGCTGCGTAGTTCCAGGAACTGCAACCCATATGGCCCTGCACGACTGACCAGCATATTGCACATGAAGAAACACGCAGAGAGGTTAAGTAACTAGCCCAAGGACACAGAACCAGAACATGGCAGAGCCGGGACCTGAGCACAGGCAGTGTCGCTCTTACCCACGAGGAAGCCCCGTGATGAGGGGATGGGGAGCCCATGGGAGTACAAGGGGGACACCTCCCAGGGCCGGGGCACACAGGGCAGGCCTTTCCAAGGGGATGGGCCCTCAGCTGAGCCCAGAAATGTGAGAAGGCCCTGAGCCAAAGGAAGGGGACCGGGCACAGAGGAAGTTCTGTGGAGCAGGAAGGCGCCTCCAGGAGTCGCAGGCCAAACCCCCGTCCTCGAGGAAGTGTCTGAACCAGTCACCTCTTTTTCTGCTTCCTGAGCGTGAAACTGACACCTCTGAGCCACCAACCTTCGACAGGGCCCTTTGACTCGCTCGGGCAGCAGGAAGGTATTGCCCGGGCCAACCTTGGTCTTGGCACCTGTGGCCCTGGACGGCCGGGGCTGCTGGCTTGTGGCAAACCATTTGGATGTTGTTGGAAACCAACTGTGATAGAAATGTGGAAGCCATTCACCTGGGAGCTGGCAGGGCCAAGGCATGATCGTGCCTGGCACTGCTGAACATGCCACTCTAGACAGCAACAAAGACCCGGCGAGCAGCCTGGCAGCGGAAGACGGCGGGATGGTGACGCCACTCCCCAGGCTGGCTGGGCCTGAGACCAGCCAAGGACTGCAGCCCCTGAGTCTGGGAAGCCCCTCACACATAGCACATAGTTCAGGGGTATATTGGAAGGATTACGGGGTAGACCAGCAGGGTTTCACGTGCCAGGCCTGTTCACCCATGTCCACCTGGGCGCATGCTGTGTCCTCTACCCCAAACGTATAGGCCCCTACAAGCCCCTCCTCAAGGGCTCAGCAGTTCCCTCCTCCATAACACCTTCACAGCTCACCTAAGGGCTCTAAAGTGCTTTGCTCTTGCTAGGGTTTTTTCGTGATTTTTGTTTGTTTTTGTTCTTGTTTTTGAGTTAGAGTCTCACTCTGTCACCCAGGCTGGAGTGCAGTGGCACAATCATAGCTTACCACAGTCTTAAACTCCTAGGCTCAAAAGATTCTCCCACCTCAGCCTCCTGAGTAGCTAGGACTACAGGGACACACCATCATATCCAAATGATTTTTACTTTTGTAGAGATGGGATCTCACTATGTTGCCCAGGCTGGTCTCAAACTCCTGGTTTCAAGCAGTCCTCCTGTCTCTGCCTCCCAAAATGCTGGAATAATAAGCATGAGCCACTGCACCCCACCCACATACACGTTTCTACCCAAACTTGTGGTGTTCAAACTGTTTTGTTTTGAGTTTTTTTTGAGTCGGAGTCTCACTCTGTTGCCTGGGCTGGAGTGCAGTGGCACACTCATGGCCACCACAGTCTTGACCTGCTGAGCTCAGGCAATCCTTCTGCCTCAGCCTTCCAAGTAGCTGGAACTACAGGTGCATGCCACCATGCCCAGCTAATTTTTTAAAAAATTGATTGTAGAGACAAGGTCTCACCAAGTTGCCCAGGCTGATCTCGAACCCTTGGGCTCGGGCAATCCTCTTGCCTCCGCCTCCCAAAGTGCTAGGATTACGGCATGAGCCATCGTGCCTGGCTCACACTGCTTCTATTACACCTTTTTAGAATGAATTCAGTGTCTCTGTGCCTGACCCGCTGCCCCCATCTCGGTCTCAAGTTCTCAAAGGCAAGGGTGGTAGCTTATTACCTGTCTTCTGTCCCAGCACATGGTCAAGCCTGGCATGGAGGGGACAGTCAATGGATGTCATCTAATGACAGAAGCGGGTCAAGGAGAGGACTTGGGGGCAAAGAAGGGGGAGGCACAGGACAAGGCTGGCCTGAACCCCTTCCTTATGGGGGGAAAGGGGTAGGAAATCTGGAGGGGGCCCAGCCCTGGCCAAGCAGCTCTTGGGGACACTGCGATCCTACTGGTGACACCTGCTCTGAACTAATGCCTGAGCGGCATGGTCACACATCCAGTCCCCTTGCAGCTGAGTCAAGGGACCTGAGAGCAGGCCAGTCACACTAGGCAGACATCAGTCCCACTGGAAGGAGGCTGCATTTTCCCATTCATCCAGCTCCTCACTCCTCACTGTGTGCTTGGTTTTCTTCCCAAGCAAGATTCCACTTGGGAAATTCTAATTCGTCTCTACGGAGCAAGAGGAAAAGGGACTTATCTACCTCGAGGCCTGAGAGTGAAGCACTGGCCTCAGACAGCCCAGGGGCTGGCCGTGAAGTGGATGGATGGGGGTATGGGCAAGCCCAGATCCTGGCAAGTGACTCCACACCTTGGAGCCTCAGTGTCCTAGCCTGTCAGCGAGCCTACACAGGGCTCATTCACAGGGCTGTCACGGAGACTCAGTGGCTTGACATGTGGGAAGCGCTCCGTGCCGACCCTGACCCAAGAAGGTCAGTCCCAACACCAGCTGCTGTCACCTTCCACGGCAGCAGTGGGTGTGGATGGCCTCTCTCACATCCCCAGTGCTCAGGATTGGGGCATAGCTGGTGCCTGCACACATGAGCTGCCTGGCTCGGGCTGTGGTCGCGGACATGGAGGAGGACAGCGCTGACAGATGCCACCAGGACCCAGGTCATCTGCAGAGGGCTCGTCGCAGGCCGTCTTGCATCAGGTCCTCCTCTCGACAGCTCTGAGTAATGCTGAGTGTAACGCTGTTCTCCCATGTTCCGGCTGAGAAGGGAGGCAGAGCCAGCAGAGTGGTAACACACCCAGGCCCTGGGCCTGCCAGCTCTTGGCTGGGAGATCTTGGGCAAGGTCCATGCCCTCTCTAAGCCTCGGTGTCCTCCTTCCTGTAAAATGGGGAAGTCCCAGGACCATCCTCCTAGGATTCCCATGTGGGTTCGGAGACAAGGGCTAACTGGCCCCTGCAGGGCTCAGCTCTGGAGTGCTCTCTCACCACCAGCACTGGCCCAGGTCCCCTAGCTTTCAATGCCACACTCGCCGCTCTCAAGCAGTGGAGGCCGCCCTGCTTCTGGCCTACAGAGGCAAGACGGACGGTGAAGTCATGATGAACGGTGGGGCCGATGTGTCATTCAGGGCCAAGCTGTGTGCTCTAGGCTGGAAGTCTACCAGGCATTTGGTAAAGATGGCGTCCTGGACAGTGGGGAAGGCAGGGAGGTGGCAGTCCCTGGCTGAGCAGATGTGTTTTTGCCAGTGCTTAATCCTGGAGCCTAAAGCAGCCCCTGCACATAGCAGGGAACTGATGACTCTGTGGCGGATGAACACAAGGGTCTGAGGAGGGAGGGAGGCCCTGTAGGTTGGCTGGGGTGTGTGTGGGCTGGCTGGGCCGGAGGGAGGGGCAGGAGAGGTGACAGAAATGCCTCTTCTCCTGTTTCCTGAATCTGGAGACAACACCAGACCTCCTCCAGCCTCTGTCATGTCTCATTCTGTGACCTCAAGCAAGTCCCTGTCCCAAGAGAAGGCTCTTGAGGCCAAGGCCCTGTCATCTCTGACTGTCCTGGTTGACAGGCCATGTGGTGCACTGGCCATAGCAAAATGCAGGTTCAAACCCAGGTCTACCTGTCCACTCCCCACACATCTGAACCATCTAGGACACTCCACTGACTGAAGCCCCAGGCTAGACTTGGGAAGCAAATGCTAATCAATCCCGGGCAGGCCTCACTAAAGCCTATGTTCTCACCTTTGTCCTCAATGTGGGCATCACACTGGACCCATGAGGTAGAGAGCATTCTTTCCTCCTGGGTGACCTCTCTGGCCAGTCTTTTGATGCCATCAGCTAAGCTACAGGAGATTGGGGAGAGGGTACCACAGATACACTCCCAGACCGGTGTGCCTTGAGGCTGCAGCAGCCAGACAGACACTAGGACAAGGAGGAGATAAAGCAGTCTGTGCCTGATTCCAACCGCCTGGGGCAGGCAGGCGGAGGGCATGAGGGCTAGCCTGCTGAGGCAGCATTATTATCCCCAAGTTAGAGTTGGGGACACGAGACTCAGAAAGGAAGGTCATGCTGCTAGTGAGAGTCTAACACAACTTTGACTCTAAAGCCTGGACTCTTTTCCTGGTCCTACAGTGTCTTAAATCCAAAGAGGCTTCCTGGAGTTGGTTTCAACAAAAGGTGGGCTTTTAGCTAGGCATGGTGGCTCATGCCTGTAATCCCAGCACTTTGGGAGGCAGAGACAAGAGAATTGCCTGAGTTCGAGACTAGCCTGGGCAAATCGGCGAGACCTTGTCTCTACAATCAATCAAAAAATTAGCCAGGTGTGGTGGCACGTACCTATAGTTCCAGCTGCTTGGACGGCTAAGGCAGAATGATTGTCTGAGCCCAGCTGGTTGAGGCCACAGTGGGCCATGAGCATGCCACTGTACTCCAGCCTGGGTGGCAAAGTGAGTCTCCGACTCAAAAGAAAAAAAAGAAAAGGTGGGCTTTTGCAAATCCAAGGAGAGAAGGAAACTGGAAAGACAGGCTGGGCGGGGACAGATGCTGGATGAGGGGATGAGGATTTTCTGGAAGACACTGCCTGTCCTGCCCCACCTCCTAAGTACTCCTGCTGGGCCTGTCCTCCATCAGGACACCTGCCCGCCTGCCCAGGAGATCACTAGGCCCAGGGCTTCCTTGCCAGCCTGACTCAGCCTCAGCCAGTTCTCCAAATGTGCCTTCGATGCAAATGTCCTTCCTCCCAACATCTGGGATGTGCTCGGAGGAGCATGGGCCTCAAGTCAGGCTACTGTTTCAATCCCCACTGGGCCACTTACTGCCCAAGGACCCCTGGGGAAGTCCCTGAGCCTCACCTTTTCCTCTGTAGCACAGAGCTATAGAGAGTGGATTGCTAAGGCTCTCATGAGCCTTACACAGCTATGGGAAGGCTGAAGCACACAGGAGATCTCAAAAACTAGCTACTGTTGGACCCACAGGACAACTCAGAACTTCCAGCCACAGACAGCCCTAGCAATCAGAAGAGGTGGCACTGAGCTGGACCCAGAGGACACATAGGATCCAGACCTGTGATATCAGGGGATGGGTGCTCTGGGAAGAAACAGCAGGAAGAGAGGAACTGGGTGTGGGAAGCAGCCAATGGCTGTGTGAAGAGGAAGAAGGTGCCCTGGAGTGTCCACCTCCACTGGCCCAGAAGACAAGGCCAGGACCCCCTTCCTCCCCAGCAGGGCAGGAAAAGCCCTGACCCAGAAGTAGCGATACCACCTTGCTGGGAAAATCCCACACCACAGTCCTTTCTCTGAGGCCCCTGGGAGAGCAGGCCCCACCAGACCTTCCACCAGCAAGCAGGGCTCCAGCCTGGATACCCGGGTGAAGGTAAGGAGCCAGGAGGGCCACAGCACTGGCATCAGAGGGCTGAAACCCAGGCCAGCTGGAGAAGGTTGGAGGAGCTACTGCCATCAGCCTCAGGGGCAGAGGGCTTGCCCATACCCCCAGGCCTTCTGGAGTCTCCTGTGTGGAGCCCAGAGGCCAACTCCTCACCATCCCCCAATGAAGAAACCACAGAAGGAACTGGGCTTGTCCTACAGCACGTGAGATGTGGAGCAGACCTGAGGAAGCCCTGATTGGCTCCATACAAGGAAAGTGAGAGGAGACTGACCACATGTGTATTCCCAGGGGCTCAGGACCTCTGAGGGGGCAGAGTAATGTCAAGGTTGAAAGCTCTGAAGCTAGGCTGCCTGCATTCAAATTTTGGATCCACCATTTCCTAGCTGGGTATTGTTGGACAAGTTGCCTCACCATTCAGTGCCTCAGTTTCCTCATCTGTCACGAGAAGATTTAAAGTATCTACTGCATAAGACTGTTTCACATGCATAATGTATGTAAAGTGCTTGGCGTCCAGCACATAGTGAGGAGCTCTCTATAAGCTTTAGCTCTTGCTATTATCTTCCGTCCAGAATCTCTTCCTTCAGGCCCATTCCCAAGCTGAGAAAACTACAGTGTCCTCTTCCCTTTGAGACCAGGGAAAAGGGAACCAGGAGTCTTGGTGGATGGATACTGGTTTGGGGACTGGGGCAGAGACCTCCCCAAGCAACCTCCCAAGGGCCTTACACCCCAGGGAGTGCCAGTACCCAGGGGACACCAGCCTGGAACCGGGGTTGGGCCAGGGCAGCCTGAGAGCCAAGAGCAGTCGAGGAGGAAGGACCACGTGTGGCCAGGTTGAGGCTGCCCACCAGTTCCATCAGGCCTATCTCCTGCTTTGACTTCCCTTCCCCCTTAGTCTTTGGGGCAAAGATTTGTGCTGGTTCAGGCCTGGAAATACCAGAAATACCAGAAACTGAAGTCGTCTCTCTTTGGGCGGCCACAGCCTAAAACCAACCAACATGATCCTGCTATTAACCTCGATTAACTTGGAGAAGATTCCATCTCAGGCTGTTGAGGCCCCATTGCTCCAGCCAAGCCCCCCAATGCTGGCCCAAAATGGTCAAGCCTGGGCACAGAGTGGGCAGTGGAGAGTGGGCGGTGGGCGGTGTCCCCAGCTCCAGGGCTGACCCCAAAACAGGACGTCCTGAGTGGCCAGGGAAGGAGTTGCCTCCTAGCCCATGCTCGGCCTCTGCTGCCTCTGTCCACAGACACAGGCACAGAGGAGGTGATTGTTTCCAGCTGACCACGGTGACTGCTCCCTGGGGCAGCCGAGAGCACTGGCCTGGGTGTCACAGCGGTAACTGCCAACCACGGGGCCAGAGCCTGCCCCCTCCACTCCTGCGGACACAGACACCCAGTAAGAGACAGAGGGACAGTCACAGCACACAGAGGCCCTCACAGGGCCCGGGAGAGGAGCAGGGCCTGCTGTCTGGTCGCACATCCAGCCCACCATGCACACTCCTCTCACACACGCCCCCCCCACAAAGACTCCACAACAGCTACACCCCCGAGGCACAGTTCCTAGGAGGATAAAAACATCCATTCAGGCAGGGGCCGAGGGCTGAGGGCCGGCACCAAAATAGAATCACTGAGAAGTCATGGGGCAGAGGCAGACAGACGTGTGCCTGAGTTCTGGTTCTGTCGCTTCCTGGTTGGGTGACCAGGACCAAATCCTTTCCCCCTCTGATCCTGCGCTTCATCATCTATGAAATGGAATGAAGCCCCCCCCCGGGGGGGGGCTTATGAATAATAGGTGCCCCTAAACAGCCAGTGGAGGCCGAGCAGCAGGGGCTGCAGTCAGAAGGAAACAGGAGGCCCAGGAAGGGCTGGGGCAGGATCAGAAGGCAGGGGACCCTCTTGGAGTCCGGAGGGCCAGCCAGGGAAACAGGCCAAAAGGAAGTCGGGCCCTGGTTTACAGTCCTGCTCTGCTCCTTCTCCCTGTAGTCTTGGGAGCTCAGCTGCTCTCCCAGCCTGGCTGGTCATCCAAGACTCCACTGGCCTTCTGGGGAGGGTAAAGGAACACATCCCATGGGAGCTGGACACACAGGCTCCGAGGCCAGGCCACCTGCTGACTGTGTGTCCTCTTAGGCTCCCAAACCTGTCAGATGGGATAATAGGACTTGCTCATGGGCCATGAGACTGGCAGGTTCCGCACATAGGATGTGCATAAGCTGTGCCAGGTAGAAGGAAGCAGGCTCACTATCGACCCCCGATACCCTCCCCTCTACAAAGGAGCGGGCAGGGAGGAGCCCTGGGACCCAGCCCTGCCCTCCCTCTGCCTCCCACAGGGACTCGGGAGGCGGCCTTCGTGTACGCCATCTCTTCAGCAGGTGTGGCCTTCGCAGTGACACGGGCATGCAGCAGCGGGGAGCTGGAGAAGTGCGGCTGTGACCGGACAGTGCACGGGGTCAGCCCACAGGGTAGGTGCAGGACAGGGTCAGATGGGAAGGTGGTGGCCTGGGCCTCAGTAACCGCAGTTCTCACCACGCCCCCCCGCACAGGCTTCCAGTGGTCAGGATGTTCAGACAACATCGCCTATGGCGTGGCCTTCTCACAGTCGTTTGTGGACGTGCGGGAGAGAAGCAAGGGAGCCTCGTCCAGCCGGGCACTCATGAACCTGCACAACAACGAGGCTGGCAGGAAGGTAGTGTGGCATGACCCTGTCACCGCGTCAGGCCCCAGGATGCCTTTCCACCCACATGCCACTGGGAACACGCTGGCTCAGGACAGGCTGGATGGTGATGCAGACAAGTGGACAGGTGTTGCAGAACAGTGTATGTGACCCCATCCCTCACACACATACACACACTAAACAGCACAGCTAGGATCTGAACCCTTCTGTGTCACCGCAAAGGTCATGTGCCTATGTCACCATCTGCCTTCTCGATGCCGCTCCCAGGTTCCTGAGACTAAATGCACCAGTGTCCTCCCCATCACATCACCTGTCATTCATTGTTTCTTGGGACACAGCCCTTAGTGTATCCCCTCCATCAACTCCAAGTGCCCCAAGCACAGGGACAGCATCTTGTTCATCTGTCCCCAATGCTGCTTACCAGCCCAGCAAGGCACGCAGTAGGTGCTTAGCACAGAAGCATGACGGTAAGCCTAGCTGTAACGTCCACCCCCAGGGCCCCATGCTGTGGTGCCCCTCACCCCGTCGGCCACCCCAGCTGCTCCTGACGGCCCCTCCCCCGCCCTCTCCCACAGGCCATCCTGACACACATGCGGGTGGAGTGCAAGTGCCACGGGGTGTCAGGCTCCTGTGAGGTGAAGACCTGCTGGCGAGCCGTGCCGCCCTTCCGCCAGGTGGGCCACGCCCTGAAGGAGAAGTTTGATGGTGCCACTGAGGTGGAGTCGCGCCGCGTGGGCTCCTCTAGGGCGCTGGTGCCGCGCAACGCACAGTTCAAGCCACACACGGACGAGGACCTGGTGTACTTGGAGCCCAGCCCAGACTTCTGTGAGCAGGACATGCGCAGTGGTGTGCTGGGCACAAGGGGCCGCACGTGCAACAAGACATCCAAGGCCATCGATGGCTGCGAGCTGCTGTGCTGTGGCCGCGGCTTCCACACGGCACAGGTGGAGCTGGCCGAGCGCTGCAGCTGCAAGTTCCACTGGTGCTGCTTCGTCAAGTGCCGGCAGTGCCAGCGGCTCGTGGAGCTGCACACGTGCCGGTGACCACCCGCCCACACGCTGGCACCCGCCTCGCAGCCAGGGAAGGTCAATAATTTAAACAGTCTCCCACCACCTACCCCAAGAGATACTGGTTGTATTTTTTGTTTTGGTTTGGTTTTTGGGTCCTCATGTTATTTATTGCTGAAATCAGGCAGGTGACCCCCAGGGCACCAACCGGGGGCCTCCCAGAAGCCTGGGCCTTTGTGGCTGCCACCGACCAAAGGGACCTTGCTCATGCCTCTGGCTGTCCACATGTGGCCACCGCTGACCACTCGGTTGTTATCTGTGTCTGTGTTTCTACTTGCAGACTTAAGAAAGGTGACAGGGAGCGTGAGCACCACACAGCTACTGACCCTGCCATCTAGGGAAGAGGTGGCCCTGTGGCAGGGAAGATAGGTGCCGCCTTGATGGAAGTCACCCGCCCTGGAAAAAAGAGTTCGCACCACTCCACCACACATACCCACAGACTCCTGGAGCTGGAGCCTAGCGGCCTTGTCTCTCAGTCCCCTGGGAAAGGAGTGGGGAGATACCAGGTCAAGGGTGAGGCATCCATTCAGCCCTCACATGAGCAGTTGAATGACCCATCTCTGTGGGCCAGTCCTGCAGCGAGCACAGGTGAGGTGGGAATAGAAGGCTACTGTTCCCCTAGAGCCCAGCCCCCCCAACACACACAGAGTGGGAAACATCCCCACTGCCCGTCTCTCCTAGGCGGAAGTACAGGCTGCCCTCCTGGACCAGAGATCCTGGCTGGGCCCCAGTCCCACCCTGAGTCACCTCCTTACAGTGCTATTCCTCTGTGAAACTGAATATGGAAATCACACATACACACACATACACAGGGTGGGGGATGGAGAGAGGAAAGAGAGAGGCTGTGCAGTGAAGTCTCCCATTATCTTGCTCACTTAACACAACGTATGGAGCAAATACTATGTTCTGGTCCGTGGATGGGCCAGCTCTCTCAATAGTTACAACAGTCCTGGGAAGCACACAAACTAGGAATGCTTGTGCCAGTTTTACGGCAGAGGGGGCACCACTTGCCAGGCCCTACCACGAGCAGAATGCAGAGACAGAGAAGAGTCCTCGGGCTGAGGCTCCTCCTTGGCTCCTGGACTGGAATGCACAGAAACTGCAAGTCTTCTTGGGTCTGAGCCTTGGGAGGGGGTCCTGGCTGGAGGAGGGACAGGGAAGCGGCATGTGGCTCCTGAGGGCAGACAAGGCTCTAAGAGAAGAAGAGGACAGCTGGAGAGGCTGACTTGTGAGGTCACTGCAGTTCAGGCGCCCCCACCCCAGGACCTCCAGGTCTCCAGGCCCCAGGTACCGTGGGTGCTGCAAAAGACTGCCCAAGAGACAGCACCAGCAAGCCCGGCCTGACCCTGTACAACCGCCAAGCCATCAGGAGCCCATCTCTAGGCTGCCCTCACACTGGGCCTCTCTGGGTTTGAGGTCCTGAGCTCTGGGAACCCCATCTGGGATTCCCAAGCCCAAGCTCTTGGCCCTGGGTTCAGTGGCTGAATTCAAAGTCCCAGATTCCAAATACGGGCTCTAGCCTGAAGCAATGCTTCTCCAAGCCCTGTGGTTTGTGCCGCCTGGTGTTGGCTCCCTGGCCAAGAGAGGGTCTACACCCTTGGCCCCCAGCCAAAACCTCTGCTCAGTGTCCATCCAAGGAGGAGGCCAAACCCAAGTGAGAAGCTGGAGCCACATTTGAATGTGGGGATCATCTTGGGGCAGCCAGCTCTGATGTGGATGAAAGCTGAGCTAACCAAGTGCCACCACAACTGCCCTGCTGGGCCCACTGCTCCTCTGGAGGGCTCTGTTCAGCTGTCCACTCAGCCAGGGAAAATACTATCCCTCACTAGCTGAGGCCAGACCCAGACAAGGGAACATGGGACCCCTCCCCTCCAGGGACAGAGGAACCCACTCTCGAGGAACCCAGAGGACTGAGGGGCTGGGCTAGAGGCTGGGGTGACGGGTATGCCCCAGGAGGAAGTAAGGGCTGTGCCTGTCCACAGGCTTCACCTCCCACCCACCAGGGAGCTCCTCAAAGCCAGTCAGACCAGATCATAGCAACTCCTGCCCAGCCCTGCTGCTGCCAGCACCGCCAAGGCCAGAGGAATCCACAGCCACAGGAAAAGGGAGCTTCCTTGGCCATGCCCAGCTCCAAGCTGCCCCAAATAAAAAAGGAATGGGCACAGGCCTAACACAGCCCACCCACCCTTGGTCCCACAGGGGTCTCGAAACTGGCCCACGGGTCTACGTCCTGCCCAAACCACTCTACTAATTTTATCCCAAGGCAAAGGTGATGTCCTGAGGCCTAGGGCTGGGGAGATGCCAGCTCTGGATGCTGCTACCTTACTCTGCCACCTCCACCCCATCCTCCAACTTTTTTACTAGGCTCTTTGCCATTATGACATCCCTAAGACATAGTCTGATGCACGATAAAATGATTATTTCTTTATCTTGCAATTGTGACAGTGACTTTTTTCATATAATAGATGACCTGGGGAAGGACATGAGAAAAAGCAGATAAATAGTAGCAAATTCTAAAATTGGGGATCCCCTTTGCCTTGTTCGTGACTGGTATGAGGGACACTGGGACCCGCCCACATGCTCTCTGAAATCCCACCATTAACACTCAACACACACTCCACTGAGCCATGGCCAGCTACATGAGCCTTGGCCTGCATGAGCTGAGCAGATCTTTCATGAGTGTTGCTATGGATGGATGGAGGGTCTGAGGTCCAGGGACCTAAGAGGTCAACTCCAGGAACAGAACCCAGTCAGGAGGATATTTTTGACTTCATATAACTCAAGCCAAAAGCCACAGCTGAGAGAGCTCCCTGCTGATGCGGATACTCAGGGTAATCTCTCAGCAACCCCCATTCTAACTGTGTGAAGTTCTGGTTCTTACCAAGGGAGGCCATGGCCTGTCCCCCACACCCACTGCAGTAAAAGAATACCAGACTGGGAACAGGTCACTATGCACTCAGCTTTCCAAAACCTTAGCAGGGTAAAGGGCTAAAGGCATGCTCTTTCAGGACAGCAGGGGTACATGTGAATTTGTGGAGAATTGGGGTAGAGAGATGACACACAAAGGGAGGGGCAAGACCTAGAGTATGGGTGGATGGCAAAGGACACTGCATCTTCAAATCAGGATCAAAAACAGAGAAGGGACAGAGGTACCAACACGGCAGAGCAGAGAAGTCAAGGTGTCCATGCCCAAACATCTTCTAGAACTGTGACAAGTTCCCAGGCTTTGAAATCAGCAGGCCTGGGTTTAAATCCCAGCACTGCCACAACTTCACTGGATGGAACCTGAGATAATACACTGTCCTCTCCCAGACTCATTTGTTCATCTGTAAAATGGACTGTCACCCCCACCACACATACATACACACTCTTTGGTAGGGTTAAATAACAACAGAACCTATTTCTCAGAGATGTGAAATAAAATGTATGTACAACTCAACAAATGGCAACTCTTGTTGTAAATATTATTATTCCCTTTTCAGGAACATAGGAGGCAGTTAAGGCAGTTACAGGATGACAGAAGCTGGAAGCGGGATAAAACGGGGAGGAAAGCAGAGACCATGTGCCACAGGTCAAGGTTGAAGCTGCTGCCTCAAGACTAAGGCCCTCGCAGAGCTCAGAAGCAGCCAATCTCTACCCAAGCAGATTCCTGGGGCCTGGATACCCAGGCAGCAGCTGGCAAGGCTCTGGCAAGGCTCGAGCTGGAGTAGTTGAATGGGATCCTGATGTCTGAGAAAAGCAGAGTAAGGCCAGGGAGCAGGGTCAAGTGGGGCAAGGCCAGAAGTGCAAGTGGGAGTGCCTGAGCTGTAGAGAGGGTGCAGTAGGCCGAGGACACTGCCCATGCGATGGAAGGCAGGCCTGTAGGCTCCCAGGCTGGGCCAACTGGCAGTCACTGTGTTCAGGCTCCCTCCTGGGCACTGCCCTCAGAGCTGAAGGCCTCTGGGAGAGGGTGGGAATGCAGTGACCAGGTGGATCTCCTCTCAGCTTCCTCCCAAGAGCAGGCAGTCCAGGGGACACCTGGGAAGCACCAGAGGCCAAGAAAGGGCCAGAGAACACAGGAAAACACGGTGGAAGTCCAGGGGCTAGACAACTGAGGGAGGCCCAGGGCTAGAAACAGGGTGGGGAAAAGGAGGGAGGAGACGCAGGGAAGGCGACAAGAAGAGAAGGCACCAAGGGACGCAAGGGCAGTGACTGTGTCTGGGCAGAGGAGCCCAGGAGCATCCTCATAAGAGGAGAAAGTGCTGAGTTTCAGGAGAAAGCAGGGGAGGGGGAGTCTGAGGCACACGGGGGAGGGTGTGTGAAGCGTGGCCTGGCCTGGCCCAGGCGATGATTTCATAGGCTTCTCCCCCCATTTCTTCCTGAGCCGCCAGTCCTGGTGACCCCCTGCCCGCCTCTCAAGGGTCTAAGCCAAGCAGGCGCTGACAGGAGAGAGAAGGGGCCCTTCTGAGCCAGGCCCCCAAGGCTGGCACAGTGCCTGCTGGGGGAGGAGGGGACCAGAGCCCAGCCCTTGTCAGCATCCCGGCCGGCACTTCGGAGGCAATTAGCAGCCCAGCTGAGCTAATCCCCCGCCTGGCGAGGCCAATACAAACAGGCCCAGGCCGGGTGCACACTCGCCTCCCTGTTTGCTGAGGGGCCCGGTGGTCCGCCAAGAACAACACCAATAACCCAGGGCCTTCTCTAGGTTAAGAGGAGGACCGGAGCCTCTGAAGAGCTGACAGTGCCCGGCAGAGCCCACTCTGGCCAGGAGTCCCGGCTGCCCCAGAAAGGCAGCCACTGTTCCCAAGCCTCAGGCCAGACGGGAAGAAGAAACAGGACACAAGGAGCCATATATTCTTATTCAGCACACGCCCCCCAGCCCCTCCCATGCCACCTGTGAGGGAGAAGGTCCAACTCAGGCTTGTGCCACCTTGGCCAGTCCAACAACTGAGGGTAGGAGGGCTTGGGAGGGGCTGGACTCTCCTAGTCGGGCCCAAGGATGACGAGGCTCAGTGCTGGACACGGAAGCCCGAGGTCATTCGACCTAGCCCTTGCCCTCAAGGAGCTTACAGTCAAGCAGAGAACAGACTACACATGTG